GATTGCTTAGGGAGGAGCTGAGGTTCAAGGGCTCAGAGATAACACCAAAAAGGGATGATTCCTCACTTGCCCTGAACATAGTTGTCTCAGCCCATTTTCTGCTGCTATAACAACACTGCTGTCTGGGTAACTGATAAAGAATAGGAATTTATTGGGCTCATAGTTCTGGAGGCTGAGAAGTCCAAGAGCATGATGCCAGCATCTGCTGAGGGCCATCCGTGGTGGAAGGCATCCCATGGCAAGCAAGCATGCAAGGCAGGAAAAAAAGGGGCCAAAGTCCCTCGATAACCAATTCCAGCAGTAGCAGCCTTCATCCATTCCTGAGGGAGGGGCCATCATGACCTCGTCACCTCTACACTGTCATGGTGGCAGTTGTTTCCAACACAGGAACACATTGAAACCATAGCAGTAGGAGATGCTCTTCCTTCTTCAAAGTGGATTAGAACCCCTAGGAGGCTCCCCAGCTGTGCTAGGCTCTGCCTCCAGGGCTCAGGCTGTAGTAAGTTTGGGCTGAGGACAACAGAGGGGTAACCCAGGAAGCCCATTCATCTTTTCCATGATACTTGAAATTCTTATCTTCTTTCCAAGGCTGCCCACTACTACTGACTCTTCCCAGCCCTCACGTAGCTGCTCTGTGCCTTCTGTCCAGGTTTTATAAAGACATTCAGTAGAAGAAACGAGTATGGAGTGCTTGCTTCATTTTACCTGGAACCAGAATCCCCCTTTCCCTCCATCTTAGTGTTTCAGGTTAGTTTATTCTGGCTGCTTTTGATGGCCAGGCAGCATTAGGCCAGATAGCTGTGACTTGTGCCAGGGACACCAGCTCCTGGGGATCCCCCTTCCAGGCCAGTGGCTGCTACACAGGGACGTCCTGCAGGAGCTGGGGCCCTGCTCTTTCTTGCTCTCTGTTGTTCTTTGTTGGCCATGGCCACAGCACAGCTACTGAGATGCTCCCCAGACACAGCCCCCCAGGTAGCACCTGTGTGTATGGGCCTGGGTGTGCCCCTGCTAGCTGCAGCCTGGCTAAGGAAAAGTCCCAAAACCTGGGCTGCTGAAGGGCACCCCTTCCCCCCAGGAAACCACATGGACCTTAACAGGTCACCACCCAGGGAGCTGTGATGGTAGAGGGAAAGGAGACTCCTCCTCAAGAACTTGGAAGCATAATGGTCTGCCTCCCAGGGAAGAGACCCTCAGTGCTTGTCTGAGCCCTGATCTCAGAGAAGGCCAGCTGCCTGGCCAGCCCTGCTGTTGACGGTGCTCTGAGCCTGGCTATGTGCAGTGGATACACAGGCGTGTTTGCTGTGTGCAGCGGGTACACAGGCGTGTTTGCTGTGTGCAGCGGGTACACAGGCGTGTTTGCTGTGTGCAGCGGGTACACAGGCGTGTTGGCTGTGTGCAGCGGGTACACAGGCGTGTTTGCTGAGGTGGCTCTTAGCAGATTATCACAGAGGAGAGATGGACACCCAGGATAAGGAAGTGATGTGTCTGAGCTCGGCGGTGGCAGACCCAGGCTGGTCCCGGTCTGTGTCCTCCTGCCGTACTCTGGTGTGTGCTGTCTTCCTTATTGGAGTTAGGTTTGGCTGAGTTGGTCCAGGTTCAGGTGTCAGGCCTGCTCAGAGCCTTGAGCTCCACTCCATGGTGTGGCATGAAAACACCTTGCGTAAAAACCCAGTGTCTGTGAAACAAAACGATTTCTCCCGTGACCAGCATTAGAAAAGGGCACCCAGACCCTTGGCGGAGGATGCACAATGCAGGCAGAGAGTTTAGAAAACAGTCTTCTCTGGGTGAAGCAGTTACGGGTGCACACATTTTTTTTTTTTTTTTTTTTTGAGACAGAGTCTTGCTCTGTCCCCCAGGCTGGAGTGCAGTGGCACAATCTCGGCTCCCTGCAAGCTCCACCTCCCAGGTTCATGCCATTCTCCTGCCTCAGCCTCCCGGTGCACACATTTAAATAGCTGTCCAAGCCGAAATGAAAATAGCCATGTCCTTCAGATGCAGAGACTCCAAGAAGCAGGTCCTCTCCCTTGACCCCAGCCACGGAAGCCCAGCCCAAGGTACCCAGCACCACAGGACAGGCAGGAGCAAGTGTGAGTTTGGGAAGGAAACAAGGGAAGTAAGGGGTAAGAGAGAGGAACATCCAGAATGTGGCATTCGGAGGCTGCGTCATAGAGCCCCCAGGTCTCACGGCTGCTCTCTGGGGAGGCCCATGGCTAAAGAAGGCTGCTGGGGGGCATTGTTTTTTGTTTTTTGAGATGGAGTCTCACTGTGTCGCCCAGGCTGGAGTGCAGTGGCGCGATCTCAGCTCACTGCAACCTCTGCCTCCTGAGTTCAAGTGATTCTTCTGCCCCAGCCTCCCAAGTATCTGGGACTGCAGGCGAGCACCACCATGCCCAGCTAAATTTTTTTATTTTTAGTAGAGATGGGGTTTCACCATCTTGGCCCGGATGGTCTCGAACTCCTCACCTCATGATCCACCCGCCTTGGCCTCCCAAAGTGCTAGGATTACAGGTGTGAGCCTCTGCACCTGGACCAGAAGGCTGCTGTTTTAATGGTTGCCCCTTTGGGCCACCTGAAGTGATTGTGCCAGCTACTGAGGACTGATGTGGTCACCTCAACCTCAAGAACTTCTGTTTTCCACATGCGTGAATGTCTGCGAGTGGATTTCACTCAATTTTAGATAATGATGCTTAACAGCAAGGGTTGCCCCTCTTCAAAACAGGTGTTGTTCAGCCATGTGATTTCACATAGGCTGAGGTTAGAAGCACTGTGCTCTTTGAGAGCTGCTTCAACTAATTACTGCATTTGTTCACTGCAGGGTGAAACTGAGTTTTCAGATACATTTGTAAAATCAGGCGCCTGATTGCTAAATACTGCATTGTTTGAGCTATACTTCCTCATATGTTGCCTGGTACGGACCAGTTAAGAAATGGTTTCCCATGAGAAGCTGACAATGAAGCTGAACGTGTTTGATAAACTCTGTGCTCATCTATGGACATATAATTGTTTTATTATACGACACTTTTACACTTGGAAAGAAAGGTGCTCTGTAATTTGGCAGCAATTCGTCAGAGCAGCACTCGAGGCTGGCGCTCAGATGAGGCCCTTGGAACCGTGCCATTGTTTCTCGGAACTACTCTGCACTCCGGTTAGGTTTGCGCACACCTCCCTCATTGCACTCCGGTTAGGTTTACGCACACCTCCCTCATTTCATTCCTACAAGTTGAGTAAAGTTCCAGGCCGTTCTCCCAGAACACCTAACAGAAAGCACGGAAAACAAAACCACCAACTCTGCTTCGCCAAGGAAGACGGGAAACTGGCCTCTGCTTCTGCGGTGTTGACGTGCTGCTTTCATTGTTTCTTTTCCAAGACAGCTGTCCCAGAAATCTCTTTTCCTCCAAGTCAACAGCAGGCTACCTCGCTTTGCTTTGCTTTTTTTAAAAGTTAGGCATAACAACAACAGCAACCATAATAATGATTAACAGTTTGATTTCAAAACGCTTTCTGAAGAAATGACAGTAAACAGAGTGCATTTGCCCAAGGAAACCCCCCAGCCATCAGCCGGTAATACAACTGCATGTGCTAATGAACCCGAAGCTGTTAATGTGGTTTCTTCAGTTAAATTGATTCATGAATTTTGAAGAGAACATTATCTAATGAATTTTCTTTGAATAGAAAGCAATTAAAAGGACAAATCAGTCTGATTAACCCCAAAGTCACCCTCCTGCCACAAATGGTGTACAGTTTGAAATTATATCATAAAAAACTAGAGCACATTTGCTATCTTTTTGCCCTCTACTAATCCATGTAAATTAATGAACAACAAAGTTAATTTCTTTGATGACCCTTTTCTAGTATCACCTGGATTATGCTGATGTTTAATTTGCTTAATGTTATAATAAAGACTAAACAGATTTTTTTTTCCCAGTGAAGTGATTATCGTTCCCTTCAGTTAAGAAGTGATTTTTATTATTTAACACACATGTAAGGGTGTGTGTCCTTTAAGAACCAAATCGCACTTTGCCAGCTTGGCACCAAGTGTAATTAGTGTTCTTGTGGACACACTCGGAACCTCGTTCCTGCCCGCGGAAGCCTTCCCTTTGTTGCCACTATTGAGAAACTCCTGTCCCTGGAGGGCTGAGCCCCTGCGATGGAGGACGTGGCTCTGTCTCCAGTGCTCCTGAGCTGCATGTCCCGCTTGGAAAGACAATAGGTACTGATTCAGACCGGCCTTCTTCACGTGCCCGGGTTTCTCTCCTGCCAACACCACTCCCAGGTAACAGTTCTGAAACCTGGAGGCAGAGGGAGAGAATGTTCTCCTGCGATTGCCGCCTCATTCCTGCAGCAGGGCGCGGCACAAATGCAATTGGATGTGGTTACTCAATTTAAATGGGAATCAAGTCATTTTATTTTTGCAGCCCCATTCACTAAAGATGCCTGTAGCCAAGGTCACCGCCAGCCCCTGCGTACTGTGGTGCTTGGCACTCCGAGCAGTAGCTGGGGGAATCCCGCGCACGGCTGGATGTGGACAGCCAGCATAATATCGCAGCCTGGCTTGTGGCTGCTTTTGCCTTCTTTGTCCCAGTTGAAGTTGGAAATTAACCAGCAGTACAAAAGATTTCCAAGTAGGCGGGCAGCAGGGACTTCTGTGCGCATTAATTGAACCATGCGCTCACTTACACACGCCCAGTCGCTAGAAGGGTGGCACACGCAACCCCGCGTGGAACACGGGGTTGGAGGGAAGGTAGAAAGAAATTGCAAACCTGCAGTGCCAGCTCCAGGGATGCCTTCCAAGGGGCCAGCCTGCGTGGTGGCCTGCCACACGCTCGCGTCTCCTTGTCTGGTGACATGGTGGTGGAGCGGTGCATGGAGGCTGTGTTTTAATTGAGTATAACACCTCTATTTGTGTCGATGCGTTTCCTGTTTTGGGACTAGCGGCTATTTATATCAGAGCTGCTGAAGCCATTTGTCCAAATAACATCATCCTGCATTCTTCCTTTCAGAGTCGTTCACCAGACAGGTGTTATGGAAGCTGCTGAAGGTTGTGAAATTCGGAGAAGTGATTTCTTACCAGCAATTAGCAGCCCTGGCAGGCAACCCCAAAGCTGCGCGAGCTGTGGGAGGAGCAATGAGAAACAATCCTGTGAGTTCTCGTGGCACGGGCATGGCTGTGGGTGGCGGGTGCACGCAGGCGGCAGGGTGTCATCTGATCCCACGTGTTTCCCCAGAAGGCAGGCTGTGCTGCTGGGGTGGGCAGAGGGGCAACATCTGTGATAGGGACCATTGTGCCAGATGCCTCCAGAAGAGGCAAGGAGGCTACCCCAGCACCACACTCCTGGAAGCTCCCCCACCCCGGGAGCACGTCTCCACTGCATGAGCTCCTGGTTGTCCCAGTGAGCAGGAGAGGAGGGAGCCTAGAGGAGTGGCAAGCGGGCACAGGGGGCCCCACCTGCTCACTCAGCAGGTGGAAGTGTTGGGTACCAGTTTTATAGTCCACACTCTTCTGGGTGCCCAGAGTACAGCAGCTAACAAAACAGACAAAAAGGCCTACCTGCGAGGTGCCTTCATCCTAGCAGGATGGCCGAGCAAGGGTGCACATCCAACCCCATCTCTCTGCGGGCTGCAGTCCCCCTGAGGCCCAGGGCTCCCTGGGTCTCAAGAGCTAAAGCATCACATGGGAGCACACAAGGCGGGAGGCCTTGCAGCATGGGACGAGGGACCTGGACCACACACACCTCCTGTCTCAGCAGGGATGGCACCCTCCCCAGAGCCCTTCTGTGTCCTCATCCTTCCCACGCGTCTGCAGTCAGGTTTCACTGAACTCGAGGCTCCCAGGCTATGCAGCCTCAGGCCGTGCTCCCCAGAGGACAAGGCCCAACCGGGACACAGCACGGGTGAGCAGCATGGCCTGTGGTGCCTGGGGGCAATGTGGGTGCCCTTGCTGTCCCATCTCACAGCACCCGGGCCTGGCAACTGGGCCGCAGGCCATCTGGCATGAAGGGGGAAGTCACACACAGCATGCCATGTGGGCGTGGCCAAGGCCACGCGTGCCTGTGTGGGCAGGAAGGGTGCTCCCATCTGCGTGGCCCATTGGGAGAACCCACACAACCTCGAGAACGCCCCTGGAATATTCACCCAGTGAGGGTGTGTGTCACGTTGGCAATGTCTTCTCCCGAAAGCTCTGTGAAAGTTTCTAACATGACGGAAGCATACCATCTGATCAGGGAGCGAGACATGATCACTCCATCATGGGATGGGAAATTACTACATCAGATAGGCCTCGCTTTTTGAAAAATTGCTGTGGCTTTGCTGTCTGTTTCCAAAACTGTTTCCATCCCTGCCCACAGCGGCAGAGGCCGGCGGGTTCACACCACAGCCTGCGGCTCCTGCTGCCCGCCGCGGCAGCCCGGGGGCAGAGCCTCCGTTTCTAGGAGAAGACAGTTACGTAGACTTTTACACAAAACTGCATTGTTAGTCCGTAAAAAGCAAGTCCGGTAGGTTTGCAGTGGATTTCATTGTCGTAATGTGCGCCCTAATCCAGGTGAGCTTTCTGCCCTGTTAAAATATCCCAAATATCCCAGGAGGGAGATACCACAGGGACAGCCACCATCCCCCCTCCTCCATCTCTTCCTGTCCTCAGTGTTGGTGACAGTGGCTGGTGGGTGCAGTGGGCCTTTCCTTTTGCACCTGTTGCACGTTAATTGCAGAGTCTTCAGCTACAGTGTCGTAAAACATCTGCACCACGCCGTAGGGGTCTGATTTTTACGGCACGTTGGGAGGTGTTTCTTAATCAAATTTCTGAGGATGGCTTTTGACGTTTCCCAGTAAAGCTTAACCTACATCCCCCTCTGGAAGGCCGCTGTCTTCTCCCCGGCTCTGAGTCAGTTTTGAGGTGTTCAACCTGATGAAAAGGCAACTCAGATGCCGTTGTGTGGTGGCTCCGTGTAGGGCCCGTGAGAACTGTGGATGCGAATGGGGTTTTAGGGGTTCTCTTCCTGCATCAGTGCAGTGACTGTTTCAGGCAGTGTCTACTCTTTGTGCCCTTTGAGGAGAGTAAGTCCTTGTCTTCTCCCCGCTGAGGTGGATTCTGCTCCCTGCGTGCACACATGGGAAGATGGGAGTGGTGCCGTCGGTGGGCACCGACTCTGCTCGCTCCCTCATGTGTGCAGCTCCCCTTTTGCTGTAAAGACAAGCTCCACTGACTGACGTGTGCAGCGTGGCAACACTCTCCCCCACCAGCCTTTCGTGACGCCAGCAGTTTCTCACTCTGCAGTGAAGATGCCGTCGCTGGTTAGCAATCCTGCTTGTGGCGATATTCGGAGACATTTATTGTTCTGCAAACCAGCGTGACTCTCTTCTGCTATTAATCTCTATGAGTGTCTCTGTTCCAGTATGACCTCAGTCACTGCAATGTATGAAGTAGTATCACATGGGTTGTAAAACCCTGATGTGTAAAGTCCACACATCGACACCCCGTCACATGGCAAAGCCAAGACTGGAGGTGAGCACAGCATCAAGCAGGAGGGTTCTACAAGCACCAAGTCTTGCCCTTCTCAGCGTCCACGTGCCTCCTGTGCCGAGGGCTGCCAGGCGGTGGTGGCCTCCTGCGGCCTTTCTGTGGGCTCCACCGTGTGCAGTGACCTTCAACCTGAGGAGGAGGCTGCAGCAGGACTCACGGCTACGGTGCCCACAGACGCCTCAAATTATAGCACAGATATGCCAGAGATATTCCTGCAAGAAGCCTTCAGCTACATAGTTTACTATCATTCAGGTTGACAGGCTCCCAAATTCCCATTAGAAACCTCATTAGAATGGGCTGGGAGGATGAAAAGGTGACCCAGGGACTTGAGGGAGGAAGAGCCCTGGCCAGCAGTGAGCCATCGCTGCTGTCAGTGTCCTCAGGATGTTTCCCTTTGGCGCTGACAGCCGCGTCCCAGCCGGAAGCCTGCACACATCCACTCCAGCCCAGACGGTGCATCGCTGAGACTCGCTCATTGAAAACATCCCTTATATTCAGGCTGAATGGAGTGATTGTGCATTTAAGGGGGGGAGTGAAAAATGGACTTGGAACGTTAGGAAACATCGTAAAGCTCATTGTGCATTAATTCCTTAGGTGGCTTGCAATAAGCAGGAGCACATGCTGGTTCATATTACTGCATGTGCTGTCGGCATGGGTTTCTCTTCCCCAACCAGAGTAAGGGATGGCTTTTGCCATGCAGGGGTTTCCTCTATCCTAGGAGCTTGATTTCTCCAGAATTTTCCAGGAAGGACTCACCAGCCAGTGTAAGGTGGTTGGTCAGCATTCCTGGAAGGCTGTCTCCCCAACCCAGCAGGAGAGGATGGTCAGTTTCCCAGTATATTGAGTAGAAAACTCCTTACGGCCCACCCCTCCACAAAGCACCCTTCCTCTTCATCCTCAGACAGAATTTGCTAAATGCAGTTCAAAGGCAATCGATACATGGCACAGAGAGTCTCCCCACCTTTTTCTAAACAAATGCATTCCTGAGGAGTTAGTTTATTCACAGATTGCCATGAGCGTTAATGACCCCCCGAGTCTTGTTCTGCCAGTCACCCAGATGGCTGCTGATAAAGACTTAGCATCATGTTCTAAGTGTCAGGGTTGTCAGTGGAGCTGAACCATTTGACCAGAAGAAAAAAACGCACAGGGAGCTATTGATTACAGCTTCTCGGTGTCACTTGTTCACCAGGATTTAGGTATTGATGAGGCTGCAAGTGAAAACAAGCTCTTTCCCTTGTGGGCTGCTGCCCGGAAGAACAAAGGCGAAGTTGGAAAAAATATTCAGCTGGTACCAGAATCAGAGGGATTCCATCATTGATTGAAAGGCCCCTTCATGTTATTTTTGTTGGAAACAAATCTATGGGTTTGGAAGTTTTATAGCATTTGAGAAAGGGGCCGCATAAGTGATGGATTCGCGTATTGGATGAATTAGATTTCACAGCATGAAGATTTCAATGCAGCTGTGATATTATGAGCTTCTTGGTTATTGATAAAAATTACATTTTATGCAGCACATGCTTTAAAGGAGAGGACATAGAGGGTACGGATCCTTTGAAAATGTCCTTCGGGCCCCGATACATTTCAGCAGGTTTCATTATTTTAATAGTCTGAAACCTGCCACCAAAATTCACACAAACAGAAGCAGCGTTCCCTATTTCTAATGGTAAAAACAGTGCCTATTTGGTAAGTCAGCTCTTCCCCATCACAGCATGCTAAGGTGAGGACTGGTCCTAGCCGTCGGGGTCACTGTTACTCCATGCCGTCTGTCCTGGCCTCTGCATTGATATATAGGAAGAGGGAGAGGGAGACGCGTTTATTTTACTCATTTTTATAATTTCATAGCTCATGAAGAGGGAGAGAAGAAAAACCGAAGCTCTGCTGTGAAGTCTGCTGTCAGGCAGGAAAGCTGAATTGGTGCCTAAATGTTTATAAACCGAGACTGAATTAAATGCCTCCCTCTTTATCAGCCAAAAAGGTGAATTTGTATTATCTGATAGTGCCCTCACAGCAATTATTAATGGCACTGTTGTATTTGATAAAAATCGTCCATCAGGGTAAATATTCCATCCTGGAGATTTCCTGTGACTCCTTCCGGAAGACGGCTTCTCGGCTGTTCCAGAACTTGGCAGTTACTACACCTCACTCTATTAAACTCAACGCTGGAAACAGTCAGCCCTCTGCCACCTGCGTGTTCCCATGTCATAGTCGTCAGAAACCTCTTAGACTGCGTCATTGGTGCATATTACCATGGTGACCCAAACTCATCGTCAAATCAGGACGAGCTGCGTGATATGTGGGAAGCCAGAGCCCCATCTTGCAGCCATGTCATCTGCCGGCACCGGCTGCCATCCCACAAGGTCCCACCTCAACAGTCCACGTCAGGGAGGAGCAGTGTGGCGCGTGGAGCCATGCAGGAGAGTGATTAGAGCCCCTTCTTTGCCACTTAGCAGCCTTATGAACTTGGGCACGAGACTCCATTCGGCTGGAGGCTGACAGGCCTGGTGGGGCCTTGCAGGGGTGATGAGGGCCATAGCTGGGGTGGAAGATGCAGCAGCATCAGGCACAGGCATACCTGCTCCCAGGGGCTTTAAGCCCCCTTTCCAAGGGGGGCTGGGGCTTCCCCCACCTCCCTCAGGGATGTGTGTAGCTGGGCCCCACAGAGGGCCACCCAGCAGATGAAACCTGTGTGGCAGGTCTGTGTGTGGCAGTGACACAAGCTGTCTGCCCCGAAAGCCTCGGGGGATGCAAGGATAGGAATCACCTCCCTAGGAAGCAGAGGTGCCCAAGAAATAGAGCTTGGAGACGCTGGACCCACGCCCCCAGCTGCTTCCTCTAAAAGCTCACCTGACCAGTAACTGATGGCTTTGTCCAGTTCACTGGCTTTGAAGGGTGGAGTGTGGGGAAGCTGGGCATGGGCGGAAATCATCTCTCTGTTGAGCTGGGGATACGTGGAGAGAAAAAGAAGAGTGGAGTCGGAGTGATACCCAGGGGTACCCAGAGTGATACACGGGGGTAGCCTGGACATACCTCATCCTTGGGATCCTGTAGGAACGGCTGTTTTTTCTCATCAGGGTAGGACGCTGGGAGCAGGGCAGCCATGTGTGAGGGCCCGGGGAGAGGCCCCAGGTCTGCAGCATCCATGTATGGGCCATCTGGGTTGTGGGGATGAGTGGGCTGCCCTCCAGCTCAGGATGCAGGAGGAAGGGGGGCCAGGCAGTAAGCAGTCCCTAGTCATCTCCCATGTGCCCTCCACATGTCGTGCCAGCCAAGAACCTTCCAGAGCAAGCTTGGTGCCCTTCCCCCTTCCTCTGGAGCCTGCACTGGCTCCTATGGTTATGCTCATTGGCAGTTTACCTTCTTCACGGAGCAGTCACTGTGATGCTTTGCACGGTGATGAGGCATGTCCCCCAACACATCCGCCGAGATATCCTGGCCCCTTAGTGGCTGCCCACCCATGCACCTGCGCCCCAGGTACCATGAGCTACTTAGGGATGAAGGCCGTTGCCTGGGAGGCTCTCCGGCCGATTCTTGCCTTAGAAATCTGTGCAAGACTTCCCCACATGCTCCTGGGAAGCTGTTCTGGGGAAGCTCTTCACAGTAACTGCTTGTTGGAATGCTTAAGCACATGGCCCTGGAGCCCCTGGAGTCCCCTGCAGTGGCCATGCAGGCTGTGTGGCCATCCCTGTCTGCCCAGGCAGAGGGGGACAACCAGAGAGATGCCCACATGTTACATCCCTGTCTTCCACTTTTCTGAGCCAACTGAGAAATGGATAGCAGACCTCAAGATTTTAGCTTTATTAGGATAAAAGCAAGATTGAAGGGGGCGGGTGGGGGGCCAGTGGCATGGCCATGGTGGCTTCCCAGTAATTGCCACAAGAATTACACTCACCATCATTGTCCCCTCTGGCTAAGCTCAGGCCCCCCAGCCAGGGCAGGGGCTGACAATCTCAGAAGAGATCAGGGCGCCCAGAGCCCTGGGGCAGACAGGTCACCTGCAGGAGCCCTAATGGTGCTAAGATGGGCGTACCCCTCTTCCTCCCTTATCGGTGGTCAGTGACTCATTCTCCTTTGTGGGGGTGAGAGTGGAGGAGGCCAGCACCAGCATGGAAACCAGAGGCAGGGGCCACAGCACCTGCCCCCACCCACCACAGGTGGCTCTCAGAGCTTCAGCCGGACAGTGGACCCATGGAGCTCCTCCTGTCTACACAGCTCGGGCAATGCCAAAGGACCAAGGCAGAGTCTCCCTGAGGACTGCACTGAAGGAGGCGCCTGCCCCTCTGGAGGGAACAGGGATTCCCTTCCCCTGGTGGGACTGACCATAAAGAAGCAGTTGGTAGGCAGGATCCGGGGCCTGTGCATGGCCGCGTGGTTGTGGTCCTCACTCTGGATCAGCCCCTATCAGCACAGGGCATCCTGAGTTTAGGTCAGCCACAGATCCGGATCGTGCTGGCTCCAGGCTAGGAAATAACAGGTTGGGCACTGCCGGAGGCCCCAGGAGGCTACAGCCAGAGGCCTGTCCCTGGCGGCATGGGAGCCACGTGGGAGTCACTGCCTGCAACTTGGAGCTCTCTGGAGCCATGCCCTCACCCTTTCAAGGTAGTGCCAGCCCTGGCCTCACGTGCGGGATGAGGATGGCAGCATCTTGAGCTGTGGGTGAGTTTGGGTGAACGTGCAGATGGCACCTTGAGAGCGTCGCTGCCTTGGGTCCCTGGGTGGAGCCCTTTTGACCGTCGCTGCTTCCTCTTTGGTTGGGTGGGGGCAGTTTTCCTTGTGATGCAAGCTCGATTTTTGAAGCTCCTCTGCTAGTTTAAGACAGGTGTGTGCTCAGCATCACTCTCAGGTGAACGGCCGGACGACAGCTCTGTCTCCCCGAGCTCCTGAGTGGGGAGGCTGCAGCAGCCTGTGGGAGGGCTGAGGGCAGGGAGGGGTACTGGCTCTGGGTCCCTGCTGGGACCCAGTGGAGGAGCTGAGCATGCCCTGCCCCCAGTGGGGGTGACCAGGGAGCTTCTCAGACCTCTGCAGGCACCCCAAGACTACAGAGGGAGACACATCCCGCTCCTGGGCACCGCGTGAGGCAGGGGTTGGCCAAGTCCTCCTGTCAAGGGCCAGAGAGTAAATATGTTGGGCTTGGCAAAGCAGCCACAGCCGGTATGGAGAAAAAGGCGTGGCTGCGTTCCAGTAAAGCTTCATTTACAGAAGCAGGTGGTGGGCGGCATGGGCCCACAGCCACAGTTGGCCGGCCATGGGCTGGAGAGGCCTGTGCAGGTACGGTCTTCTCTGACGTTTCCTGTGATGCCAGGGTGGTGTCTGGGGAGCGTTTGAGAGCGTCACATACCACCAGAACTTGGAAATGTAGTTTTCGGTTTTGTAAGTGAACGTTGTAAATTACTCACCGGGTGAAATTCAGTTTTCTCCTCTCAAATCTTGGCATAAAGTGATTCTCTGAAGATGCCCCACTCCACCTCAGGGCATTCGTCCCTCCCCCAGCCCATGCCGAGACCTCCAGGGACTCAAGGGCCTCAGGGGAGGGGGAGTTCATGCTGAGACATAGCTGGCACCCACCCATGCCAACAGCCTGCCCCCGGCACGGGCCCCTGCTTGGTGGGTACAGGACTCCTGTCAATCAGGGCCTTGGCCTTGACCCCAAAGACCTCCTTGTCCAGATCCCTGGCTGACAGCGGCTGCCTCCCTGTCTTCCAGGTCCCCATCCTCATCCCGTGTCACAGAGTGATCTGCAGCAGCGGAGCCATGGGCAACTACTCCGGAGGACTGGCCGTGAAGGAATGGCTTCTGGTCCACGAAGGCCACCGGGCGGGGAAGCCAGGCTTGGGAGGGAGCTCAGGACTGGCAGAGGCCTGGCTCAAGAGAGCGGGGGCTACCTCGGGCTCCCTGCCTGCTGGCCGAAACTGAGTGTGTGCAGTAGGATGAATGTTTGAGCGACACACACGTGTAACACTGCATCAGACGTGGGTCGTGGAGGCACCACGTATTAAAGGAGGTGACAGTGTCCTGGGAACAAGCGTGTCTGCCCTCTCTGTTTCCGTGTTTTCCAGCAGGATGAGTTCAGACGCCCGCGGTCCTGCACACATTTGTTTCCTTCTCTAACGCTGTCCTTGCTCTATTTTTCATGTCCATTAAAACAGGCCAAGTGAGTGGGGAAGGCCTGGCTCATGTTGGGGCCACAGCCCAGGATGGGACAGTCTGGCACCATCAGGCCACAGACGGCTGCCACAGCCACTGTCCAGAGCCAGCTAAGGCCTGTCCCAGGCCGTCCACACTAGAAAGCTGGCCCTGCCCCAGCACATCCCCACCATGCCTCCCTTCCTGGCTGTGTCCACAGCTGTGATGACATTTTCCACTCACAGTTCCTAGCATCCCACACTCAGGTCTCACTGAAGGAAACGGGAACAGGCCATGGAAGTCAATGCTTACAGAGGTTTTCTAGCTTTGTTTCCTACCTGCCAAAAAAGGCCAATGCAAGATACATCCACTTATGCTCTGTATCCGGTGGGTAGAAAATAACCATTTGCCAAGATTTGGAAAGACAAAGAGCTCTCTGGACACGGGCTCGATGGAGTCTGCACCTCTCTGAGAGCTGGAGTCGAGTGTCACCCTCGCTCCACACTCGCTGGCCTAGTGTGCTCCGGGCAGCAGGTAGGAAGGGACATGGGCCTCTCATCTCAGGGGCTGCCCCAGAGGGGCCTCAGGGACCATGGGCCTGTTAGGACCCCAGCACCCCAATGTCGATCCTGGAAGTCAAAGGTCACGACTGTGGTGGGCCAGCTCATGTCACTGATGGCAGCAGGGAGGGTTGCCAGCATGGGCAGTGCACTGCCGTCTGATACTTCGTTATCGTGTTGTCATGCTAGCAGTATAATTAACTATATCCAAAAGCTAGAGGGAAACCTGTAGCTCTGCATATGGAGAAATAAAACAGCATATGATGTATAGAGAAAATCAACCGCACCCAGCTGTGCACTAGAGTGCCGTGTTCTTAGCCAGCGTTCCTTGCCACGGTGTGAACCACAGCGGGGAAGCTCATGCGGTTCTATACATCACCAAGGCCTGGATGAAAACGTGGCCTTACAATGTGTATGGTCGGGACCTGCCTTGTATTTCATGTTGTCCTAACACCAACAAAGGAAAACTGATATCAGACTTTTTTCGCTGATTTATGATTTATTATATCTCTTTCTGGCATCAGCCAAAATCTAGGTTTTTCCTATGACACGAAGTGATGTGACTCTTACCCCATTGTCTTAACTCTTGGTATTTTTGAAGCAGGGTAAGTCACCCAGCGGGTCACGTAGACACGTGCTGCTTTGTGGGACAGGCCCTGGGCCCCCTTGCTCCCGGCAGGCCTCAGGTGCCACACACCGCGTCACCGTCAGGACTCGCAGGATGTCTGGTTATTTTTGACGTTGCTGAAGGTGAGTGGGAATAGCTGGGTGCGCTGTGCCCCAGAGGTGGTGCCCTGCGTCCCCCACAGATGATGCCCCTCCCCAGTGATGGCCGGTCACCAGGCACGGCCTTCTCTGCATGAACAGAACAGAAGCTTCTGGCTCTCGAAGGCAGCAGCTTGGGGCCTGGTGGCCCGGGTGTGCGAGCCGCGAGTGCTTTCCAACAGAGGGCACCAGAGCCGTGCGGTGTGCTGTGGAGACCCCGGCACCACTGTCCCTGCTGGAGGATGGATTTGAAGGAGGGCGGCTGGGCGGCACCCCGAGGCTCCCTGTGCTCCCTGAGACCCTGCAGGCCGCCCTCTGCAGGGTCTCAGGGAGACCAACAGGCGCACACGCTGCAGGCCGGCTGCCTCCACTGTTTGGGTCTCATGAAGGATGGGAGCCTCCCAGTGAGATCTCCAGGTTTCTAATCAGGCACGGGCTCTGAGGGAGGGTCTTGGGGCCACATGACTGCAGACAGCGAGGACCAAGCCCCCAGATCCAGGTCAGCACCTGGTGGCAGGGGACCCGCCCATCAAAGCCGTCCAAGGTGAGCCAGCAAATCTGTGTGGCCTGGGAGCACAGGTGGGCCTGTTTGGGCCATGCCCTTGGTGCAGTACAAAACCAGCTCTGCTTGCTCTCCGAGGGTTTCCGCCGCCCTGTCAGAACAGGCTTGATAGATGCCCCGAGGTTCCCTCTGACAGCCGCAGCAGCAGGGCTCAAACCGGCGGGGCCATGTACCGCTCCAAGGACAAGCTCTGCTGAGGCTGACATGAAAAGCCAGCACGCGGGTCGCCTAGAGCCGCTCTAGCTCCAAGCCGCAGCACCGCTCGTGAAAATACAGAGGGAGAGAGAAGGCACAAAGAAATACAAAAATATTTTCCAAATAAAAAGAAATGTCGAAACAAGAAAGCTGTGTTCTTCGGCCTTGGCCCCGGGTCCCCCTCACCCTGTCGCATTTCCCAGCACCATGATGCTTTGAAGACTGACACCGAGACCCACCGTGGCGCGGCAGCCACTCAGACCGGCCACACCACGCTCCCCTGTTTGCAGAGAGAATGAGAGAGTCAGAAGTAATACTTGTTTTTGCAGAACCACACTTGTAGCAAAAGTAAGTTGCCCTTGGCCACGCAGGAGACTGAGTTTTGTGAGGGGTTGTCCTCCCAGTCTCTCCTCCTGTTGGGAACAGAAGTGTCCAGCAAACCCACCTGCATTCCACATGTCCTGTGACCGCCTCCAGTGGTGAGTCTGTAAGGCCAGAGAAGAGAAGCTATGACCGTGCAAACGTGCACTTTAGGATGTTGGCTGATGCGGAATCAGGAAGCCTGGAAGAGCTCTCGCATGAGGAATTGCAGAACTTCTTATGGGCATGAATTTGCACTTCCAGATGTGAAGGTTGCAGGCACCAGGCGTTGCAGAGGAAGTGGGCAAACTCACCTTATAGAGAACTTAATTGGGGTTTGTAATTCGTATACACTTCTTACCCAGCAGAAACAGCTTACTGAACACCCCACGGGTGGCTGGATAATGTGCTAGCGACTGAAACCATCTCTGCAACTTAAGCTTCTCTGGTGCACAGCGCCCCACATGCTTCTCCAGAATCCCTTTTGGAGGGGCCAAGCAAGTCCAATATAGATATGTTTACACTGAAACCACCAGTTTTGTTTCTTAAATCGTTTGTAAACAGCAGTATTATCCTGGGACTTATTTCCTACAAAACTGTAAGATAAGGATAAAATCCCATCCACCTGAATTGCTGAGAAACCTAAGTGGTGGGGTGACCAACCGGAGCCCTGTGGAGTGGCAGACTCTGGGGAGTCAGTGAGACTCAGGGGGATCAGTGAGATTCTCGCAGCAATGTGAGGCATCCTCCTCATAGAAATGTGTTTCCAGATTTTGCTGTATCCCCTGACCTGGCCTACAAGGACAGAACAGCCCTGGGGGCCACGTCCCCTCCCTGTCTCATCTGCCGCTCGCCCACCTTGGCTGTCCATGCACCCGTAGCTGTGACCATGGGCAGTGCTGCCAGCTTGGACTTCACCCCATTGGAGCGGGCAGGATGTCACACTGAGCTGATGTGAGATTGTTCATGTTGCTGCAGATCTTCATGCTATTTGGGCTTCTGACAGCGCAGAGGAGGATTCTGAAGTGAGAGAGAAATTGGCTTCATGTAGGAGCAAGGGGTAAAGTGTTTTACTTTACTAAGAAGATTTTACTGAAAGACCAGTTCCTAAACGGCCCTTGCTTCGGCCACAGCTGCTGGGATGTCCTCGGGCCTCACCTGTCTTGTCTGCATGTCGTTCTGTTGCCGTCGGGACAGTGGTGTCCCCAGAAACAGTCCAAGGCTCTGGGGTGGGGGATTTAAATTTTTTGGCTTCCCTCAGACCTCAGACCATGTGGAGTTTTTTGCTTGCTTGCTTGCTTTCTTGTTCATGGGCATTTGATTAAAAGTTTGTGTTTAAAGAGCTGAGCTTCACATCAGTTTTACTTATCAGTTTGAAAGACATTGAGATCTAAACACGGCTCTGCCCAAGACCTCTGCCAAGCAACCCCGTCTGTCTGTCTGTCTGAAGGGACGGGAAGGTGGAGAAACTGCAGGTACTGACCTGTCTTTAAGCCACTGAGGGCAGCCGTCCAGCGTCCTCGGGACCCCATGGCTCCAGCTGCTGACAGATGGGAAACGTCTGGCCTCCATCACCGGGGTCGGCCCCGACAGGGATCTGTAATGGGGGCAGGGGTGGAGGTGGATGAGAAAGTAGGAAGTGGATGTTGGGCAGCGAGGTGCGAATTGACGGCAGAGCCCAGCCCGACAGCGCCTTTGATTGATGAAAGGACATTGTTAACAAGCCTTTAAAGTTTCTCATTAATGTTTTTTTTTTCGTTGAAAAAAAAGCCACCAGAAAAAAATTCCACATGGACAGTAATTAAGATCGATCCCGTACAGTATGGTATCAATGTTGGGAGCCTTTAGGAAAAAATTATCCACCCTCCTGTTAAAGACTTCTATTCGAGCTGCCGTTTTCCAGGCTGTTGAGAGTCCCTGGCAGTGTGGGGACCTGGGCAGTGAGGCACGTTCCGCAGATGTGATGTGGTCAGCCTCACAGATTATGTTTCTCCCGTGGCCTGAGGATGCAGAGCAGAGCCCGAGCTTTGGTTGTCATGGACTCTGATGCAGTGCAGGGAGGAAGGGTGGAGAAGGATCTCATGGATCTGCTGCCATGGAGAAGCTGGAGTTCTCTCAGCTCCGAGTGAGTCCCAAGGAGTGCGTCTGAGCGGAGTGCACCTGGTGCCTATGGTTCTCAGCAGAGATGCTCAAGCCCTGGGGCAAGGGGGCCGTCTCTTCTTGTTTCTACCCGGGGGCTGAGCCGGCCCCCCCATTATACACACAGCACCACACACGTGTACACCCAATAGTTCTTTCCAAGTCTTGAGTTACACGGCACTGCTGTTTGGACCCCGAATACCAGCGGAACACGTGCTTCCAGGTTGATTTGTTGACTCACATTAAGAAAATCCAGCTGGAGAAAGTATCAGGGTCCTAACGTTAAACAACGTGTGATATTGTGCAAAAAGGATT